TGTGGCACAGAGACCTGTGTATAAAGCAACCCAGAAAACCCCTGATTGTTCAGCATAACTTCAAAGATTCATGCTGCAAGAAGTATCCTATGTTAGGAGACGTGGTTGAAGTCATTGAGCAGAGTTTCAGCCTGGCCAGCTGCCAACTCTCTTGAGTAATAACGTTTGGGGTTAGTTACAGAAATCAGGGTAGTGAAAGACAATGATTGAGATGTCTCTAGTAGTTAATGTTTTGTCAAAAAAGCCATCCAATTGCTACAAACAATATACAGTAGGTTCTGAGCTCAGTAAATTGCAACACTGCAAGAACTGGAAAAGTGGTGGAACTCAAGCTATGGGACCCAGAGAAAGGGGTAGGATTTGCAGAAGACGTTGTCGCAGATATATAAAGATGAAGTACATTTATGGCTGAGTGAGTGATCTTTTCCATAATTATTTATGTATCCATTGCTTAATGATTTAGATATTTTAGTAGGTTCCTAAAGAACCAAGAGAGAACTGGAAGCTCCTTCAAAAGTGTATGAGAAATTTCATTTTTTCTTCTCCTGCTTGTTAGTTTGCTATTAATGCACTTTGCTGTTTAGCAGTTGTTGAAATCTATCAGGATCGGGAAGGAACTTGTGGTTACCTGAGAGGTAAAACAACTTTATGCAGTTGTTGAGATAACAAGGTGTAGAGCTGGATGAACACAGCAGGCCAAGCAGCATCAGAGGAGCAGGAAAGCTGACGTTTTGGGCCTAGACCCTTCTTCAGAAATTTATGCAGTTGTTTCCTGGTCTGTAATAATTCTAACCTAATGCAAATTCTCAATACTTAACCCACCTCTTTTTAAATATGTGAAATCTATTGATACCATGCTTTTTCTCCTTAGACAGTTCCTTGGAATTGAAGATGAACAGCTCTGCTTTGGTTCAATTAATTTAGAATTGGTGATAAATCCAATGAACAAACCGTAGCCTCCACCACGTGAAGGACTGGTGGTGCTTGAGTTGTTGGGAGGTTTGCGTCCATTCTCCATTGCTTTGTCATGTTCCAAAGTCTCCTCGTATGTTTGGTGCCTTCCTGATTGGACTTTCTCCATTTTGATCAGTCACAAACAAGGCACTCCAATATGTCAGTGGGGTCCCTTTCAGATATGCTTCTGCTGTTCTCCTGTGACGCTCCAACCACAATGTAGTTCTGTGTAGAGCAGTTGCTTTGGGAGTCTGATGTCAGGCATAGAAACCACGCATCCAACTTACAGAGCTCCACTTGCGTGCATAGGCTGGGACGTTTTTCACTGCAGCGTAGGAGGTTGAGAGGTGACCTTATAGAGGTTTATAAAATAATGAGGGATACAGTTAATGTGAATGGCAAGTGTCTTTTCCCTAGGGTTGGGGATTTATAGACTAGGGGGCATATTTTTAAGGTGAGAGGAGAAAGATTCAAAAAAATATGATGGGCAATTTTTTAATAGAGTGTTGTTCGTGTGTGGAATGAACTTCCAGAGGAAGTGGTCGACTGGGGTACAGTTACAATGTTTAAAAGACATTTAGATAAATACATGAATAAGAAATATTTGGAGGGCTAAGCGCAGGCAGGTGGGACTACTTAAGTTTGTTATTATGGTCAGCACAGACTGGCTGGACAAAAGGGTCTGCTTCTGTGCTGTATGACTCGATAAGTGATTATTGCCTCAAAATTCAGCATATTGGCTTGGGAGAGGACATTGCTGCTGGACCATCTTTCTTGGGAGACTGCGTAAAGGCACCATTGGTGGTGCTTCTCTCGTATTTTAAAGTATTGTTTTAATCAACCTGTTATGACTCACCTCCATGGCTGGTAGGACATGAAACTTTCAGCAGAGGGACAGACCCAACCACTGCGCAGCCAGATCCCTCTCTCTCAAGTTTTAACACTGTACTTGCAAGCTGATATTCTAGCATATAGTTTTTAAATATGGTATTTGCACTTAAGCATGTTTTAGAGTCTGGATGACAGCCAGAATTGCTTGAGCTGAATTTATTGGCCAGGCACACCCAGGTGGTGGATTGATACAGATAGGGAGATTGATAGATTATGATAATAATTCAGTCACCATAGCAGGAAAATACGGGATGGGAACACAAAAACATTTCTCACATTTAACAGCAGGTTGCAACAATAATATTCTCTAGGTCTGGCTCTCATTCTCTCATAATTGGTAAATCTGTCTCTGTGATATCATTTCATTGTCTCATGCATTATTTTTCTTGCTTATGTGATCTGGCACTCGTGCAAACACTTACACTTTCCTTTGTTGTGGGGTTCAGGAGCACAGTGTAGAGACTAAACACGGGGCCAAGCCTGCATTTTCCAGCAGCCCATCCTTTGATGTGTAATTGTAATTGGCCACCTATGTGCTCAGTGCTGTATAAAGGATGGTAACTGGGATTCTGGTAACTGCAGGCACTAGAGCCTGGCCAGATGCGTCGGAAGAGATCAATTCTGCTGAGGAGGCTGGGGTTTGTGATGGCACCTTAACACAGCAGCATGTAATTATATTAAAAGTCATGAGAGGCAAAGCCTTACCTCCCTACAACATGCTGATTGAACCACTTTGCCCCTGTCTTCACTGCCTCCTCAGCCTGCTGCATGGAAGCTGTCTCCAAGGAGATGACATTTGGCATAAGGGAGGCTGGTGCACTGAATTTCCCTCATTGGATCCTAGCAATGTTACCATGCTGTTACCACCATGATCCTGATGAGCTGACAAATGTGGATTCCATGCACTGTTGGGAATGAAGGGTTTTGAAGTTAAAAAGACTTGGAATGATCTTTTCAGGTATCTCATTCGCTTCCCTGGCAGATCCATGGGAATTCCCAGCTGATAAAGCCACAAGAATTTGATTCTTAATCCAATGTTAATTTTGAGTCTTCGAGACTTTGAAAGTTTTCAACAGTCAGAACTACTTTGTGCTCCTGATCCTGTCTGTAGTGAGTGAGTGTCTGGGGCAAGGGTTCAATTTCAGGGTCCCACCTCCAGGATTGGTCGTCAGTAATTTCAGGATGGTAAGCAGATGGTGTAAAGTGTGTCAGCATGTTGAGGCTGTGAGACCACCTTCATGATGTAGCTTAGTCAGAGTACTATGGGTGTGCATGGTGCCTTGATGTTCTTATACACTTCTGGAGGAAGTGGGACTTTACCTCTGGTCTCCTGGCCCCATAGTAGGAACATTATCATTGCACCATAAGAGCCCTATGCTATCTGGTAACTGTTTGTATGTGGTGAGGTCAGATCGGGAGGGTGAGTGCCAGGTACCATACCGAACTTGGATGAGAAACTGAAGTGGCTCTCTATATTAGATAGGGGTCTTCTGGCCTGGCAGGTGCAAAGCCAGATAGCTAGCCCATGGAGCAGCAATAAGCATTAAATCTTTATTAAAATAAAACGTATGCCTGTGAGTACTGTTCCTTCAGCCTGAGACAGATGAGGTACCAGTTAGGGAGCTGCACAAACTCAGACGGCTGGAGACAACGGCCACTCGACAATGCTCCTTCCTGCAGTCTCTGGCAGATTGGGAAGAAATTTCTAGGGTCTGCCTTTGCGGGGTCAATATCTTGGCGGCTTGCATATTAAGGTGGGAGATGGAGCTAATTTGGATGCCGCTTTTGGCTCCTCTATACCCTGAAGAGATGCAGATACTGCTGACTGTGGGCTGGCACACTGTTTTTACACTGAACCCACCGCCAGCCCTAGGCAACAGGCACAAACCTTTTCCTCCACCATGATTCAGGCCTTCCTACCCACAGAGACACCTCTGTGACCCATGAGAACATTTCCCCTGGGGAACTCCACTGCTCTGCATTTCCAAATCTCGCCTCCAGCTGGTTAGCAGGGCTTGATTCTGAGAAATCCAATTCGGGAGTGGCAGGAAATATTACGGTTCAATTTTCCCAATAAATCTGCAATGATAGGACATCAGGGACTATAGACTTGTCCAGAAATAAAATGCAAATAAAAAAGGACATTTAGAAAGGAGCACAATTGCGAGTGAAGAAGTACAGTAATTGGAAAGTTAGCGTTTATATCAAAAAGAACAGAAAGGGATGGAGATAATAGCTGGCAGAGAATATTTTGTTTATGGATTGACATTAAATAACATAATGTTTAGATTTCAGTCGTCTCGACAGTTGCTACTGTATTTGTGGTAAAGGTATCAGTGGCAATTTCCCTCCTCATGATCAGCTCGTGATCTTTGGAATATAAACAGAAAGGGTGGGAGAAACTCAGCAGATGTGGCAGCATCTGGGGACAGAAACACATCTTCTGACATGAAAATTCTGGGCATCTTAAATCTCAGCTTCATTGCTGTGTTGAGTTTGTGACAATTATACTTAGTCGATTTCGTGGCTATTTCCGTTGCAAAACCCTTTGTTATAATCTTACTCCTTAAATTATCAATATCGAACAAAATATATGAGATAGAAATAGGACTTGGCATTTCCAAGCAGTTGCCTCCATCGTAGCATTTTACAGAGGTATAGCCAGATGTGGGAAGTTACTGTAGTATCGTCAATGCACAGTTGAACCTATTCAATTTGCTCTTGATCCTGCAGCTTTCCAGTTGATATCTGCCGAGGGAAACATTTTATCCAGAGTGCTTTTACACTCTGCATTGAACAAGGGAAAACGGCACTCGGCTCAGTGACCAGTTTGGTGAATTTCGCGTTAGACTTCATTCAGCCAGAAAACCTCTTGTTGGTTATGACCGCCAGAATATTTAAGCTGGAAACTGAATCCTGCAGTTTTTGTTTTGACTTGACTGAGGACCCCGAGGCACTGACTCACCGCCAGATTTGCAATACAGCTGCGAACAGACATGCATATATAAAAAAAATCTAAGTACTTACATAATTAAGTAAATGGAAAAGTGCAGACTCAGCTGGTTTCCGTGCGTCAGCAGCCCCGGGATCTTGCACATTTGACTTTGGAGCAATTGGAATAAAATCAATAAAATATTCAATTCGGAGAATTTATATCCCTCCCTGTTCTCCCACCACATCGCCCCGCCACCAGCACACACACCCCGCCCTCCTCTAGTTAGATGAATGGAAGTTTTGAGCTGATCTGGATGGCAGGATGTTGGTCACAGTCGGTACTTAAGTGCTGAACCGATGCAGAGACCATCTCCACTCAGTCGCACCTCGGCGAAAGGATGCAGTGCTGCAAGGGCCGGCTGCTTGGCATTTCAGTGGCCGTTGCCCACGGCGTGTTCTCCGGCTCCCTGAACATCCTCTTGAAGCTGCTGATCTCTCGCTACAATTTTCTCTTTCTGACGCTGATGCAGTGCCTGACCAGTAGCACCGCCGCTCTGACCCTGGAGCTGCTCCGAAGGCTCGGTAAAATAGACGTGCCACCTTTCAGCCTGAGTCTGGCCAAAGTGTTCGCCGGAGTCACGCTGCTGTCCACGCTGCAGTCCAGTCTGACCCTCTGGTCACTCCGGGGTCTCAGCCTTCCCATGTACGTTGTTTTCAAGCGCTGCCTACCTCTGGCCACTTTAATCATTGGGGTGTTTGTCCTGAAGAATGGTGTTCCTTCCATTGGTGTGAGTGCAGCTGTCCTTCTGACAACCTGTGGAGCAGCTTTGGCAGGTCAGTTTCACTCCCTATTCTCTCCTTCCCTCCCAACACATTGGCTCCTGCAGTTTGCACGGTTTTTTCTTTCTGTCTTTGGTTTTGTTTTGGTTTTTACTCGTGTGAGTGAGTAAAGGATGATTTTATTAGCAACCGGGCTGAGGCGGAGAAAGAATTCTACCAAACGTTTTGCATTGTTTACACAACGTTCCCAAAAAAAAACAAAATACTAGCGATTGCTGTCAATAGGCATGAGAAATGCAACCTGAAATTGGACAATGAAGATTTTGTTCGGGGAGGAATGTTACAATTTCCAAACTCGCAGAGCTTTAAAAAATCAATATTATCTTTCGGTATTTTCCTAATCAACCTGTTCGGAGATGTTACAAAGATAAAGTCGCCATAGTCCCACTGGACTGTAGGGCTATTCTCTCATTGGAAAGATATGTGTGATAGTGATTTAGCCTGAAGTTCATCACACCTCAGGCGAGGGGAGAGGTTCAGGAGGAAAGTCCTTCATGGTAACCTCAGCTGGCAAGGGGTTTGAGCCCACGATGTTGGCACCACTCACTAGCTGCCTAGTTAACTGACCCGCAAAGATGCTATTGCGCACCTCTGAAGCAGGTGGGAAGTGAACCCAGGTCTCCTGGCTCAGAGGCATGGCATTGGCTCTCAGGAACTGTTCTGGAGATAATAGGAACTGCAGATGCTGGAGAATCCTTCAGAATTCTTTTTCTGAAGAAGGGTCTAGGCCCGAAACGTCAGCCTTCCTGCTCCTCTGATGCTGCTTGGCCTGCTGTGTCCATCCAGCTCTACACCTTGTTATCTCAGGAACTGTTCTGTTCTGTTTTCTAGGAGTTGGCGATCTCTCGGGGGATCCAGTGGGCTATGTGACCGGGATCCTGGCAGTGCTGGTGCACGCTGCCTATCTGGTGGTGATCCAGAAGACGGGCCATGAGCATCCGTACGGCCCCCTGACAGCCCAGTACACCATCGCCATCAGCGCCTCGCCCGTGCTCCTGCTCTGCAGCTTTGCCAGCCTGGATGCCATCAAGATCTGGTCCTACCCGCCGTGGCGCGATGCCACATTCGGCTGTACCTTCACCGCCTGCATTGTGATCGGCTGCCTCATGAACTTCACCACCCTGCACTGCACTTACATCAACTCGGCGGTAACCACCAGCTTCGTTGGCGTGGTCAAGAGCATCGCCACCATCACGGTGGGCATGCTGGCATTCAGAGACGTGGCGCCCACGTCCCTGTTCATTGCCGGCGTGGTGGTTAACACAGTGGGTTCAGTCACCTATTGCATCGTCAAATATTTCGAGACGAGGCAACAAGCCAAATATGAGGATCTGGAGGAGCTGACCAAGAAGGACGAGGAAGGATTGGTGGAGTATCCCGCGGTGACCCCTCAAATGTATGAACTAGAGGAAGGTGCCAACGCACGGGCGCTATCCAATGGAAGCGTGCAGGCTGACCACAGACCATTGACTGAAAATTATATCGGGGTCTGGAGGTTATTGAGACGCTTGCAACTTTTCAGAAAAGATCCTTCAGTTCAGGAATCCCAATAAATCACGTCCTGTCTTTAGTTTTGGGAATAGCCGAGAAGGGTTAATGTATACGATTGAAATAGAGTAATCGTTTGTAACAGTTCTCACTTCTCCGCCCCACCAGGCAAGGGGTATATTAAAGTTAAGGACTGCACTGCCAGCATTCTGCTTTCAGAAGTGAAAACGGAGTTTAAGTAGGTTCAGTTGAAGAAATTTTGGGGGAATATATCTTTCCGAGTGTGTACTGTTCTTTTTCTGGCAACATGATAAACCGGGGGTGGTTAAAATTCTGCAGAGTGGATGTCACCTCAAACAGAGAGGAATCTACCCTATTCCTCTTTATCTCGGTAGCTGCTTTAGGTAAAACAGTAACAAAGCTGAAATTCCCAGACGCACACTCGGCAACTACCACCACACAGACTGAACAGTAGGAAAGGGTAGCTCGCCATCACATTCTCAAGAGCATCTAGCGGTGGGTGGTGACTGTTAACCTATCCAGTGACTCCTGAAAATAATAGGAAACAGATATTTGTAAATTATAGGTGCACAGGAAATAACTATAAACCAACACTCTCATTCGGTGATGGTTACAATTACAGTACAATCTGAACTCCGATGTGATTACAGTCTGGCCATTAGTTACTCTCTATAGTGTTATTAATATTTCCAAGCCCCTCTGGAAATTACTTTCGAGGCAGATTAAAGCGTTTATTCAAATAAAAAAATGCTATTTTTGCACATTTGCTGCACCCTCTCATCTTATTTTCTGGTTGAAAATATCTGAAAATTGCAGTCGCCCTTTGAAGTAGAAAGATAAACCTGATGTTCTCACTTTCCATGTAATTGGAGTGTGTTTTCGCTTCATGTGGGACGTCCCCATTGTTGCTAAAACACCTTGCCATCTGCTGTACCTCTCTTTGTAATAATCTAGAAGCGGGCTGAAGTGGTTCCCTTCGCGCTGCAATCGCTTCCCCTACTCTCTGAGCGATTGTCAAAGCCACCCCAATCGGGCAAATAAACTTCATGACCAAATCTGTCGATTTGTGTGATTTTGGAGAGATGTCATTTTGAAGATTATCAGGTCCAAGTAAATTATGTTTGAAGAAAACGTCGAAGAGATTTCATTCATAAACATCGCCCATGCAGCAGCCTGCATGCAGATATGAATGAATGAACGTATGAATACGCAGTAACTGATCCCGCCCCCGTGGTGAAAGGTGTGAGACTGAGATCTCCAAATATGGAGTTACCTATATATCTGAGTTCAGTCATGTTGAAGCAGAAGCGATATCAGGCGTGAGATGGATGGAAACATAAGTACTCTGAATGTCAATGTGCACGATATTAATAATGGTCAGCTTTTACCAAAAGATGTAATTAATATGTGAGTTCTAATTGTACTTTTTCAACCACGTCAATTGTTTCTGAGAGATTGAGACCTGTGCTGTTAGCAATTTACAAGTTGCCTCTGCTGCTTTGTAATTACATCCAGGTGAGAGTGTCTCTTTTTAAATTAGATGTTATTGAAGTTTTATAATACGTTTTCGTTCATTTTTTATAATACTTTCTGTCGGATGTTGGTGAACTTTCTCCTTTACATGTGCGATAAAATAAATCGAATCTGAGCCATAGCTGAAATCTCCTGTCACTAGCTGCTTCAGATTCATCGGCCTTTGTGTAGAAGAATAAAATCCATCGATGCTTTGCTCATCCACGTCTCTTGAGTCATGCTTTCTTTGTCAAGTATTTTGTGAAAATGCCGCAGTCCTAACTTTTTGCCTTTTTATACCTTTTTATCCCTTGAGATTCTTTGAGTTGCTAATGTCCTAAAATGATTCCTGCTGTTTCATACTATCCTTGAAGTTCAGGCTTTGAGATTAGAAAATTCTCTGGGAGCCAAAAAAGGCCCATTCTATATAATTACAGGTTTCCATGTTTGATAAGGATTTGAAGAGCCAGATTTTGGGGTTAGAAGACAACAGAGCAGGGATGAAAAAGTTGTGAAGGGAAATATGTTTTTTTCGACTTGCTTCAGGGGTATGAATGTTGCTACCAAGACCAACATTACCTTTGAGAAGGCGATGGTGAGCCAGGTTCAGTCTTTGGGATGTAGGTACACCGACACTGCTGTTAGGAAGGAAGTTTCAGGATTTTGACCCAGTGACAATCAAAGAACAGTTCTAAATAAGGATGGTGTGTGTCTCAGAGGGATACCTGCAGATGGTGGTGTTTTTATGTTGTTCTTTTATTTGACAGAGGTCATGGATTGACAGATGCTGTCAAAGGGGAGTTGCAGGTCCCTGCAGTGTATCTTGTAGAGGGGGCTTTGGTGCATAATGGTAACCACAATGGCCTTGTAATCCAGAGGCCAATGCTAATGAATTCAAATCCCATCACAGCAGATGGTAAATTTAAATTCAATGAATAATCTAGGATATAAAGCAAGTCTCAGTTCTCATACATTAAACTATTACCAATTTTTTGTAAAAATCCACTTGGTTCACTCATATCTTTAAGAAAGGAAATTGGTTACCCTTAACTTAACTGGTCTGACCTGCATATGATTCTAAACTCAAAACAATGCGCTTGACTCTTCCCTCTGAATTATCCTTGCAAACCATTCCATTACATCAAGCCACTTCGATGTCTGAAAGGAATTCAACCAAATTGACCACTCAGCATTGACCAGAACAAAATTTTGCAAAGCCCTTGATAGAATTTTGGGGATTGTGGCTAACTTGGGATTGCTGGTCCACAGGGTAGTCAAACAATTGCCTGACATAATCATAATCATGGTATCACAGCTTACAGATAATGTCCCAGAAACGACCCTAACCATTCCTGGATATTTCCCATCCCACTCAGGCTGGCTTGGTAGCAGCACTACTGACCAAACTGATCAGGTCCTAATGGAAATAACTGCTAGACTCGGGGGAAAAAAAAACTGCTTTAACTCACCCTTGCAATCTAACTGTTGCAAATGCATTTGTTTATGACAATATTTATCGGAGTGGCTACTACACAATTCTTCTGGTGATGGAGGCCTGCTTTCAGACTAAGAATATGCCCCCATGGTGCATGTCACCATCATGATTTTAAATGCGACAAACTTCTCACAGAAGCTGGGCATCTCATGAATGGCCATAGGCCATCAGTAACAGCAAAATTATATTCAGTCACTGTCTGCAACTTCACAGCCTGGGATATTTCCACTCCACCATTACAAACAATCCAAGGGATGAATCCTTGTTCAAGGAAGAGGGTATTCCATGGGCATTGCCCAGGCATACCTAAAAATGAGGAGTCAACCTGGTAAAGCAACAACACAGGACTACCTGCATGCCATACAACAGAAGCAGCATTCAATAAAGTTAAGTAATCTCACGAACAGTGGATTATAACGAAGCTCAACAGGTATGAATGACGATGGACCATTAATCAACTGTAGGCCAATTGGTTTAATTTCAATGGCTGGGAAACGTCCAGACACAATAATTCAGAGCAACATCATTGGTTACATGGAATAATGTGGGTAATTTGAGGGAAGTAGGCAAACATTTCTTAAGAAAACTTTGTATTAACTGACTTGGGATAACAAGGTGTAGAGCTGGATGAACACAGCAGGCCAAGCAGCATCATAGGAGCAGGAAGGCTGACGTTTCGGGCCTAGACCCTTCCTCCCTCCTCCCTCCTCCCTTAAACAGGATGTTAATCACCATTTTCTAGTCCTCTGGGACCTACCAGACTCCTGAAATATCACCACCAATGCCCCTACTATCTCCTTAGCTATCTCCTTCAGAACACTGGGGTGTCGTCCATCTGGTCCGAATGATTTATCCACCTTAAGACTTTTCAGCTTCACCAGCACCTTCTCCTTAATGATGGCTACAACAAACATCTCTTGACCCCTGACTGTCTTGAAGTTCTGGTATGCTGCTGGTGTTTTTCACTGTGAAAACTGATGCAAAGCACCTATTCATTTCATCTGCCATTTCCCCATTACTACTTCTTCAGCTTAATTTTCTAGTTGTCCAATATCCATTCCTGCCTTTCTCTTACCTCTTAGATATTTAAAATGAGTCAAAGAACAAAGAGCAGTAAAGCACAGGAACAGACTCTTCGGCCTTCCAAGTCTGCACCGACACATTTTGCCCTTCCATATTAAAACTATCTTCACTTACAGGATCAATATCCCTCTATTACCTTCATATTCCTGTATTTGTTCAGGTGCTTCTTGAATGCTGCAGTTGTGTCTGCTTCCACCACCTCCTCTGGCAGTGCGTTCCACGTACTCACCAGCCTTTGTGGCTTGCACATCTCTTTTAAACTTCTCCCTTTGCACCTTGAGCCTGTGTCCCCTAGTAATCGACCCCTCTACCCCGGGAAGAAACTTTATACTCTCCACTCTATCTGTGCCATTCACAATCTTATAAACTTCTATCAGGTCATCCCTCATCCTCCTGCGTTCCAGTGAAAACAAACCCAGTCTATTCAACCTTTCTTCACAGCTAAAATCCACCATACCAGGCAACACCCTGGTAAAGCTATTCTGTAACCTCTCCAAAGAATCTACATCCTTCTGCTAATGTGGTGACCAGAACTCTAATGTGGTGACCAGAACTGAATGCAATATTACAAGTGTAGCTAACTAAAGTTTTATAAAGCTGCAGCATAACTTGCCTATCCTTATACTCAATGCCCCTTCCAATGAAGGCAAGCATGCCTAAGGCCCTTTTACTACCTTATCTATCTGCGCTGCTACCTTCAGTGATTCGGGGACCTGCACACCCAGATCTCTCTGCATATCAATACTGCTAAGGGTTCTGCCATTTACTGTATATTTCCACCTGTACTTGACCTTACAAAATACATCACCTCACATTTGCCCGGATTAAATTACATCTGCCATTTTTCTGCCCATGCTTCGAACTGATCTATATCCTGTTGTATCTTCTGACAATCCCCCTCGCTATCTGCAACCCCATCAATCTTTGTATCATCTGCAAACTTATTAATTAGACCAGCTTTCCTCCAAATCATTTATGTAGACCACGAACAGCAGAGGTCCCAGCACTGATCCCTGTGGAACACCACTAGTCACAGCCCTCCATTCCGAAAAACATCCTTCCACTGCTACCTTCTGTCTCCTATGAGTAAGCTAGTTCTGTATTCATCTTGTCAGCTCACCCCTGATAGCAGTCCCGATAACACCCCTTTTATACCAGTCTGCCATGAGGGACCTTGTTAAAGGCTTTACTGAAGGCCATGTAGACAACAGCAACAGATTTTCTGTCATCAGTCATCTTCTTAGGGGGGACCTGATTGAGGTCTACAAAATCATGAGAGGTATAGACAGGGTGGATAGCAAGAAGCTTTTTCCCAGAGTGGGGGACTCAATTACTAGGGGTCACGATTTCAAGGTGAGAGGGGAAAAGTGTAAGGGAGAAACGCGTGGAAAGTTCTTTACGCAGAGGGTGGTGGGTGCCTGGAACGCATTGCCAGCAGAGGTGGTAGAGGCGGGCACGATAGCGTCATTTAAGATGTATCTAGACAGATACATGAATGGGCAGGGAGCAGAGGGATACAGATCCTTGGAAAATAGGCGACAGGTTTAGATAGGGGATCTGGATCAGCACAGGCTTGGAGGGCCAAAGGGCCTGTTCCTGTGCTGTAATTTTCTTTGTTCTTGTTCTTTGTTCTTCACCTCGATCAAGTTAGTGAGGCACGACGTCACCTGCTTAAAAACATGCTGTTTATTGTTAATCAGTCCATTTGCTTCTAAAAGCTTATAGATCTTGTTCCTGAGAATCTTTTCCAATAATTTCTCTACCACTGACGTGAAGTTCACAGGCTTGTAATTTCCTGATTATCCCTGTTACCCTTTTTAAACAATGGAACGACATTAGCTATTCTCCAGTCCTCTGGGACCTCACCTGTGGCCAAGATACAAAGATGTCTGTTAATGCTCTAGCAATTTGTACTCTTGTCACCCTTAATGTTCGGGGATAGTTCCCATCAAGACCCGAGGATTTATCTATCTTAATACTTTTTAAGACGCACAACACCTCTTCCTTTTTAATAGCAACTTTGTTTAGAAATTTGACACCCCCTTCTCTGAGATCATCCTCCACCAATTCTTTCTCTTTGGTAAATACTTATACAAAGCATTTGTTTAAGATCTCAACTACATCTTCGGGCTTCACACATACATTCCCTCCTTTGTCCTTGAGTGGGCCAACCCTTTCCCTGGCTACCCTCTTGCTTTTTATATATGTATATAAAAAAAAACTTGGGATTCTCCTTAATCCTGTTTGCTAACAACTTTTTATGACCCCTTTTAGCCTTTCTAATTCCTTGCTTAAGTTCTTTGCTACTTTCCCTATTTACTTCAAGGGTTTTTTTAATTTCTATCCACCTAGACCTTACATATGCTTCCTTTTTCTTTTTGACCAAGGTCATAACATCCCTGGTCATCCAAGATTCATGTAACTTGTCATACCTATCCTTCATTCTTGCAGGAACATGCCCCTCCTGCACTCTTTTAACTGCCATTTGAATAATACCGACACGTCCAATGTCGATTTACCCTCAAACACCTGCC